CCTGGTTCCCCAATAAACGTACTGATAAAGCTAATGCTTACCAGGTAGCTGGTTAACCATTTAGCGTTTTGCATCCCTAGTTGACAAATGCCTTTTAAATGGCTTCATTACCATTTAAATGGCTCTTTTACAGGTTCCATGTTCTGCTAATAGGTCTGGCAGGCTTGTTCACTTTTAAGTTAACTAGACCCTCTCCGGAGGAAGGATCCCCAATAAACGTACTGATAAAGCTAATGCTTACCAGGTAGCTGGTTAACCATTTAGCGTTTTGCATCCCTAGTTGACAAATGCCTTTTAAATGGCTTCATTACCATTTAAATGGCTCTTTTACAGGTTCCATGTTCTGCTAATAGGTCTGGCAGGCTTGTTCACTTTTAAGTTAACTAGACCCTCTCCGGAGGAAGGAAAGGCCACAGAACAGGGATAAAAAGAGCCAGGTGTGTGGACATTAAGACCCAGTGGTGCCCAAAATTTTCAGGTGCCCTACGCAACTGCGTATGGGTAAGGAAGGCCCTGTACAGCACCTACCTGTGCTTTCTGCAAAGGAGCCATGCGACAGCATAGAACTGCTGTACATTTCAGGCAAATCTGTAGGAAAATGCTTCTGTAGTTACTGGAAATGGAATCCTGGGCAGAATTAAATATTAGCGACAGCGTTGATCCATCTACAATCAGTCCATATTCTTGACTCACTGTCCAGCTCCTAAAATATAAGCAGAGAGAGACAACGTGACAGTCTCAAGCCTTACATTTCTAGGAAGTCAGTTTCGTCATTTCTGTGTGATCTGAGCCACAAAGGTATCAACAAAACCAGGTCTGGCTGTGAGCATGTGCATGCGCGCCACTGAAATGGCTCAGAATTAAAAGGGAAACAGGACAGGCACAAGTCCTGCAAAATTAGGTTTGAAAAAGAGGAAAAGCAGGGGGCTGTTTAGAGGCAGAGAGGCTCCAATCCTACAATGGGATTCAGGGGTGTGCGTGGGGGGAGGCACACTCACTCCTCACAAGCAGTGCCCATGAAATCCAGAGCTCTTCCCTTGAGACCACAGAAATGGGAGAATTAATGCTGAATTACTTCCATTCATGCTAAGCCTCTGCTTTGACACAGCTCTCTAGACACAAACTACCCACGTGCTCTCTCTCACCTTTTAAGGTGTCCCCTATTTTTTGGAAAATCCTGCAGCAGCTTTTTGTGATACTCTAGCAATAACTCGTGCAACCGATCCTCTTTCCTTTCGCCGTCCCCCATGGTTTTTGTGGTCAGCTCCAGTAGTTCCGTGTTTGTCTGGAAGAGCCGGGAGGCATAGCAGGTGGATTTTGCAGTTTCCATCTTGTCCCCAGTAAGCACCCAAACCTTCATGCCTGCTGCTTGCAAGGCCTCGATGGTTTCAGCAACGTGTTCCTGAAGTCTGTACAGGGAGGCAATACATTAGCCATCTTGTTCACCTTAAAAAACCCATTCCTCCTCAGAATTAATGGAGAATGAACCATATACGTGAGCCTGTGGAGGCTAGATCTAAAAACCATCAGCACTTACGGCCTCAGATAAAGAACCTACAGGCAGCACCTACAGACTCGAACCGCCACATCACACAAGTGTGACTTACAGATTGCTTACAAAGAAAATGAATAAACCAGGGGTGGGGAAATTAAGGCCTGGGGGACCAGAGATGGGGCCCTGGCTTGCCTGGATCTGGCCCCCAAGGCGCAGGGTTCCCCCACAGAGAATCTACTAGCCTGCCCCCCTCCCAGGGAATGTGGGGAGTGTCTTTCTCCTTCTCAGTTGGGGGCCACGTCAGTGAGGGTTTGTGTGTGTGTGTGTGTGTGGGGGGGGGAGGGCCTTTATTTGCTTCTCACCTGTGCGGCACCCCAATGATTTTTCTGTGGGTCAGCAGCCCCCAAGCCTAAAAAGGTTCCCCATCCCTGAAATAAACCCACGCATTGTTTGCCAAAGAACGACTGATTTCCCAACCGTGACATCTCTAGCTAAAACCAGCCTAGGACTTCGCCAGGATACGATACTACCCCCACTGCTCAGTATCACATTTTGCACATGGCTGAATAAACACCCACACAGCAAAGCAGCTTTCTGATGAAGAGTAAACTGAAAGAAGCCCTATTGCAGCACTGAACACATTCCGGTAGCAAAGGAGATGGGAGTTTCGTGGCAGAGGGTCAGATAAAGCCTGAGGGGTGGTTAGTCTGAGGACGGGATTCAGGAATGGGTCCAATATCAACACTGTGCACTTAATTAATCCTATTTATTTTAGCCAACATTAACCATTTAATCCACACAAGCGCCTTAGGCTGACAGCTCTCCTCATTTCTCTTTTGGGAAAGATGAGGGAGAAATGTTCAATTGTTTGTTTTACACCACAGAGCAGGGGTGGGAAATCTACGGCCTGGGGCCAAATCCAGCCCCCGGTTTGCCTGGATCCGAGCCAGCGCTGGCGCTCTCCTCTCAGGCTAGGAAATGGCTGTGCAGCAAAGACCTGCCTGGAGGCTTCCCCCTGCCGCTCCGATTGTCCATAATCGCAGGCAATGGGAGCAGCAGGATTGGTGCCTGGGAGCAACGGGGGACACAAAGCCATGTGCATCTCTGGGGTGCTGCACAAGGTACGTGTAACTGCCACTGGATGGATTTGAACCTGGGATTTCTGGAGCTTAATACAGAAGCCCCTACAGCATTTAGGTGTGTGGGTTACATAAGAACCCCCCCCTCACCCAGACCCCACAACCTCGGCCAGCTCCTACCCCTTGCTGTCCAGACCCTTCACCCCAGCCCACTACTGCACCCTACCTCCCACCCAACCCCACACCCCCACTCTGCTCCTGCACCCTACCTCCTACCCAGCTCTCCCACCCTAACCCACTCCTGCACCCCACCTCCCGCCCAGACCCTACATCCCAAGCTTGCTTCCAAGCAGCCCCCTCCTCATTTTGACCCCATCCCAGAGCCTGGGGACCCACAAAATCTACTAGCCTAGGCTCCGCCCCTCCCCCCGCCCAGTATTCAAGGGGAGTGTGGGGAATGGAGTGTCTGTTTTTCATATGGGGGGGGGGGAATGAGGAAGGGGTTGTGTGCTTCTCATTTTTGTATGTCAGCAGTCCCCAACCCATCCCTGCCATAGAAGTTGCATCTATATGACAACCACTACCCGCTCCCCCTCCCACCCAAAAAACAGGCAGTGAGTCTCAGAGCCGGGGGTACGGGGGGGAAGTGTTCAGAGTCCACCAAGCCCGAATGTCTGCACAGCTATTTTTAGCACCACAGCCCAAGCCCCACTCTGCAATCTCAGACTCTGAGATGCACTGCCTCGAGGGCTTGTATGCTGCGTGGGCGTATCCACAGGGATTTGGCGTGAAAGCCAGAATTAGAACACAGCAGCTCCTCGGCCTACATTCAGTCACTGTGCCCATCTCTTTGCCTAAAGCCATAGAAATCAGAGTGAAAAATAAATAACAGCCTCATGTACCCATTCAAATGCACCTGAACTTGTGTAATTGTGGTCCATAAATTAGGGGCGCTCTGCTGAATGCTTTCCTGAAAATGCAGATTTATTAAAACACTCACGTACTTGTTGTTTAAACCAGTATATTGTTAGCAAGCAGGCAATTTGTTGTGGTATGTGCCATACAATAACTGCTTTAGACATTCTGTCTTCTTAGGATCAGCGCAAGGCTTCAATAGCACCGGGGTGGATTATGTCACGACACAGACTGCTGCTCTATGATCTCACTCTGGCCATTGAGCCACCCTCCCTTAGGCAATTACGTTCTGGGTAACTTCAGACGGAGGGAGATACAGACTATGCAGTTCTAAACAGAGCATTCACGTTTCACCTGCTTATCTGTAACCCTCTTACCTGTCTTCAACAGCAGTTGCCCCAATCAAATGCATGTCTTTCTCTATGTCATCAAAAATCCTGGCCATCTTTTCTTCTCTGTCCTGCAGAGCCATTCTTGCTTCACTCAGCTGGTTATCGATTTTGTTATAATCCTCGGGAGTTAGTTCTTTGAAGGCCACACAAAGAGTCCGATAGCCATCCTTGAAACAGAGAAGTGGACAAATGGACTAAAAATCACCTTTTAAACATCCCCTACCTTAGAATTTTTACTTTCTCTTTTATTCAGTGCCTGGAAAGACTGGGTCCAATATTAGAGGTGATTATACATCGTAAGGACTTTGTTTACATATGAATCTCCATGCATGAAAAACCTGGGCCATGAAACATTACAATAGGTATTTTAAGCTGTGAACAGAGCATCTTTAGTCGTGAAAAGGTCGCAAGATATACAGAACTGGAAAATGTAGCTGATTTAAAATACACTGCAGTGTTAAAAAAGGAGGCCCAACCAGGTGAGATAAGAACAAACACTATCCTGAGCTGATTCGTTATAAACATCTTTTCTCAACATCGCTCAATTTAGATAAATGCTTCTCAAAACATCACCCGCTCAAAACTATTAACTGATTCAAGGACTTCTCTACCAGGCTAGAAAAGGAAAAGAGAGAGATTGTTATTGCTATTTTTAACTCCTTGGGAGATGCTTAGATACTACAGGAATCAGGACCATGTAAGTAGATGAGAAGTTAAATAAAGTTGGAAGCCAGGAAGACTGAAAAAGAAAACAAGTCAGACATGGACATCAAAACAAAAGAACTGATGCTCACATTTTCCCTTCCAATGAGACCAACCCTGGCTTTGTGAACACACTCACCAGTGCATTGCGTTCTACGTGCACTTTAGTTTGCTGTATTTCCTCTTGTTGCACACGCGGAAAAACTGACGAATCTGCTCCTTTACAGAACAGGAGGAACTTTCCTGAAACAGAGTTAAAAATAAGATTGGCGGATTCAAAACCTGTTGCAAGATTTCAAGTCTTCAATGTGCTGTAAACCTGGATCAGTGGTTCTTAAACTGCGGTCCACGGACCACTTCCAGGTAGTCCACGGCTTGAGCTCAGCCCCTCCCCTTACCCCTCCAGCAGGTTAGAGCACCAGTGCCAGCTTCCCGCTGTGGGGGAAGGAGGGGAGAGAGAGAAAGCCCCTGCCTGAAGGATTTCCCCACTGCTCCCATTGGCCAGAATCCAGCCAATGGGAGTAGCATGAGGTAGTATCTGGGAGCGTGTGGCACAGGGTGCAAAATCAAGTAAGTGCCACCCCCCTATAGAGACCCCATACCCCTACCCTGCTTCTGCATCCTCCCCCAGGCCAAACACCCTACCCCCCAGCTTGCTCCCACATCTTCCCCTATGGCCAGACATGTACCCCCAGCCTGCTTTTGCCCTTCCCTCTGGTCAGAAATCCTTCCCCCAGCCTGTTCCTGCCACTTCCCCCCAGTCCAGACACCCAACCTCCAGCCTGCTCCTGCATTTTCCTTGCTCCTGCACCTGTCTCCCCCTGGCCAGACACCCTATCCCCAGCCTGCTCCTGAACCCTACTTCCCATCCAGACCTCTCCTCTGCACCCTGCCTCCCACCCAGACCTTGGACCCTCACACCCTCTTCCACCGCACCTCCTGCCTAAATCCTGCACCCCCATCTCATTAGAAAAATATGCAATTACATCAGTTTATTTTACAGAATCATTCTAAATACTTCCAGCACTGTGCTCCGGATGGCCCAGAGGACTGGCTGTCCCAGCCCCGCCCAATCTGCTTCAAGTCCCACCCCTTCTGGGGGTGTGGAGCTGTGGCCCCCCACACTTTACCCCCCGGTGACTGTTGGCCCTGCTGAGAGGAGTGGGTATATGAACAAATAAATGAAAAGCACATGCAGTTACCAGATTTGCATGTGGAAATGAGAGATTTTCAGGGGACATGCGAGTGAATATTATAGGTGTAGCTAAGGCCCAGAAAATGTAATTTCTGGTCTGTAATGGGAAGTCTCTAATATGTTCTCAGAAAAAGGGTAAATACAGTCACATTTGACAAATATTTTATACACAGCGGTGTCCATTGTTTTAATAATACCTGTACTGGTTTTCACAATGACACTCATCCGACGGCGGACAGGATCAAAGTTTAATATATGAAGAAGCTGGTACCTTAAAAAAAAAAAAAAAAAAAAAGAATTTAGAAAGCTGTAAAAAAAGTCTTAAAATGGCATTGGCAAGAAAGTTGTAAGCCACAAGAACATACTAAAATTGAACTGCAAACTCCCTCTATACCAGACTATAAGTAACAGGTGCCAGATACGAATAACACTCATTACCATCACTAAGAGCCAGGTGATTAGACAGAGCGTAACACAACTCCTGGAGCATTTCACTGAAGGCAGAGCTGAGCTAAAGTTTGCGGAAAGAAATGCACATGGACGACGTGCTATTTTCATTTTTGTCTTCTCTTTAAGGGGTGGCTGGTCTGCTAGGCGGGGGAAGGCATTGCCTTCCCAAATTGCCAGCCTGGGTCCACCCATTTTCTGCCTCCAGAATGCCTACTGGAGGCATATTAGGGGTGAAAGTGTTGCTGCCCCCGAGCACCCGCCTTCCCCATGCTCTAGGGCAGGAAGGCTGGGGCTGCACGCCCTCCTCCCTCCCTATGCTCTGATGCTGGTGGGAGGAGGAAGCTAGGGCAGCTCGCCGACCTACCTCCCCATGGGGCTGGGGAGGGGGGCAGCTTGGCTCCTGTGGGGGCGGGGTCTGGGCAAAAGGGGAGGGGCTGGATGCTTGTCTCCCCACAGCCCTACCTTCACGCACCACCCATGGAGTCATGCTTGGTTTAAAACACTTTCAAACTTAAAAAGGCTGCTCCACATGCATTCCCAGAGTATGGCGACTCCCTGTAGCAGCTGGTTGGGGGCCATTCCCTTGGTGCATGGCCGAGGTGAACAAGCAAGAGATGTGTGCTTGGAACATCCCATCATGCATGGCTGGGGCCCTGGCCCCAAATGAGAGATGTGACTGGCAACCACACAGTACCAGCTTGGCTGTAAGTGGGAGAAGCTAGTTAGGATCTTCCTGAGTCAGCTGACAGGTCAGAAGGGGAAGGTCCTGACTGGAACACCCAGCTGTCAATCAAGGCAAGCCACCTAACGGGTTGGCTGAACACCAAAAGCAGCGAATAGCACAGTGTTAAACTTTTTAAGACCGAGGAACACCAAACAATAATTTTTTTTTAATGAGGAACACCAAGGATTTTTTGTTGAGAAAAATAAAAAAGCTTGCCCCTTGAACTACGGATGACACTTTTACAGACAACAACAATATGCGCATACTATGTAGCCTTCTAGACTTCTGTCTTTTTGATAGGGAAATGTAATTTACTCCGTTTACTCATATTGGTGGAAATTATGAATTCAATTCCTTATCAACCATGGGTTAATGTCAAGCAGCTGACTGACAGCAGCCATAGCATCCATGCCAGCATTAGGGGCACTGAGGGTCTTACCCTGCCCCCCAATTCATAGTGGGTCCCTTACTGCTTAATGTTTTGTCCTTCAATAGTCCTAGCCCCTGCCTCTGTTATTTTTGACACAGAATACTGAAGGGAAGGGCCTTGTCTCTGCAAGAGGGTGGAAGGTGCTGGCCACCCTCAGCTGTCCTGGGTAACAAGTGAGGGCTAAAGACAGCGGTGCAAAGACCCGGTCGGAGTGGCAGCTTTAGGGCAGTTCTCTCCCCTGGCAGGCAGCATCCTCAGAGCAGCAGCAGAGACAGCCAATCAGAGCTGGCCCTGCAATGCTCCTCCCCTCTGGCAAGAGGTGCAACCGAGGTGCGGAGCTTTCCCAGGTGGTTGCAAGCTGGGTGCAGAAGCACGTGAGGAACGCGGGCAGCCCCGCCTCCTTTCCAGCCGCATCACCACTCGCTCACCTCTTCGCACCACCCGCTGCGTCTCAGCAGCTCTCGTGGCCGTTTTTTTGGGGTTTTTTTCAAACGGCTGCAGCACACCTGTGAGTTCTCCGTGGAACACAGTGTAAGAAACAGGGGAATAGCAAGTTTGCTTCCTCCCTTCATAGGAGGAATTCAGAAGAAAGAGAAGTTTGAAATGAAACTTGCTAATAAGACAAGGTGCCGGGGAGGAGGGAGCCAGATTAGTTAATCTATCGTTCAAGTGGAACACATCACTTAGGGCAGGAGTGGGCAATAAAAGAGCGACGGTTCGCCAGGGTTAGGCCGGGCGGGATGCCACGGCTATAGCTGCCTGCACCTCTGCAGGTACCAGTGACTGTAGTTCCTGTTGGCCACAGATCACCGTTCCCGGCCAATGGGAGCAGCAGGAAGTGGTATGGACCAGGACATTGCTTCCTGCAGCTCCCATTGGCAGGGAGCAGTGATCCAAGACCAACAGGAGCTGTGATAGCCTGTACCTGCAGAGGCACAAGTAAATATAGCAGCAGGGAGTCACCATGGTCTAACGCTGGCAGACCAGATCCAGCCCATGTTTCAGTATTTGCCCACCCCACCTTAGGTTTTACATGAGCAGTTGCTGCAGGATAAGGCTGAATTATTTTTAATCAAAGAAGGAGCTGGGTTTGCAGCAGGTTTATGCAGAAGTTCAACTTGCTGTGGTTGAGGCTTATAGTAGCATCTGCCCTAATGCATTTACCATCTAGGGTGTTATCAACAATCCACAGACCCAAGAGAATTTCCAGGTTTCAAATTGTGGTGCTGGCTATGATCAGAGGACCTTGTTTTAGGTGTTGATTGATTTGCTATTATAGCAAAAGCTGCAACTGATTTGATCTTTCAGCCAACTCTTTGATGCTGGGGCTCTGTAACTGGATCGGCTTTCCTATGGACCAGCAGTCTGACATGGCCTGTTGTGCCATTTCAATTATGCAGCATTTGCCACTTTTCCTGAATTTAATCAAAACCATGTGCAAGCTGGCACTTGACAGAGTATGTTCAGTTAGCAAGGCACAATTCCCCAACATAGTGCAGTTGCACTTACTTTTCAATTTCATTCTTCTGGTTTTGGACTTTCATGTAATCATCTTCAAGTCCTAGAAAAGTGAAACCATACCTGTCAACAAACAAGAGGACAGAAGGACATTGAAAGCACTGTCGCGTAATTTACATTTGTAACATTCTCATTTTCATACTCTGAAACATGACATGGGCTACAGCATCCAGTCCATGGACTTCAATAGCTTGCCAGGCTATTCTCTGCATTGTCCTATATCTACACCTGTGGTGGACCACTTGTGGCCCGTGGAACATAAATGGCCCATTGGAACATAAATGGCCCACAAGACATTTTGTTTACTCTTGCCCACATGCAGAGTTGTCAGATTCTGCTGGTTTCCAACCACATAGGGTTTTTTTTCCTTTCTGGTATTGCTCAAGTGGCATGCACATAAATAAAAGACATGTCAAGTGTGGTGCTTGCTGACTGCACACAACATTGCAAAAGCTGTGTGCTCCTTCTGCATGAAAGCGCTGCTACATTTCAATCGGCACATCCCAAAAATTCTAGGTACACAAGAGCAGTTAGAAAACTACCCTATCCCGGGAGACCGTCTCAGTTATAACAATCTTGTGACCCATTAAGATGGAGGAGGGCCACTCATGCAGCCCACTCACTAGCCTAGGTTGCCCATCGCAGGTCTACACTCTTAAAGAGAAACAAGTCGTCCTGTGGCACCTTAGGGTATGTCTACACTAGCCCCCTAGTTCAAACTAGGGAGGCTAACATAGGCATTCCAAGTTGCAAATCAAGCCTGGGATTTAAATATCCCGCGCTTGATTTGCATCTTCCCAGCCGGTCGCCATTTTTGAAATCAAAAGCTATGAATGGGTCACATCCACCCTACTTAATTAGCTTCATTAATATGGGCCCTGCAATTAACAGGTAACTGCTTTTGCTATTATGTATACCTTGAATTCTGTTATTTCCATTCCAACTCATCTGATGAAGTGGGTTTTATCCACAAGAGCTCATGATCCTATTTATTTGTTAGTCTCTAAGGTGCCAGAGGACTACTCATTGTTTTTAAAGTTACAGACTAACATGACTACCCCTCTGAGACTCTTAAAGAGAAGTTGATCATATCCAAGAAAACTGAGGTTTCTATAGGCCATGTGAACTAACACGTGTATACTGTGTTACATTTATGGCAAAAATGAAATCTATCTGGTGTGCTAGTATGCCTTCAAATAATTACAATCAGCGAATACAAGTACATCAGAAAAGGCTACCAATGGTGGTCTTCACAGAGGCTGCGTTGTTTCCTTAAGAGTTTTTTGCCACTGTACAGAAAGTAATTTTGTTTTGATACAGATGTACTATTCAGGGACTGCTTCTTCTACAATGTACAGAACCCACCAATTTCCAAGGGAACTTGGATAGAGTATGGCTCTGTTTAATTAGGCACCTTGGGACACGATGCTATGTAAGAGAAGTCCCAAAATACACCGTGATGTGTGCAAGCTATGAATCTCTAAGACTTTGTTTATTGTGAAGTTGTGCTGTAAAGATCAAAATATCGATTAAGGCACAACTCTGCAATGGGCCAAAAGCCACTGAAGTACAAAACCCATTCCAACCACTGATAGGCTCCCGATGACTCCAGTGGACTCTGAACCAGACTAAAGATCTTCTGCTTGCGCTTTCTACCCTCCACTGTTCTCGTCAATTACAGGCCATGAGCATTTTTTTATGAAAAAACTGCCAAGGAAACTTCAAGGTGCCATTAAGTCCCGCTCAACAGCACACAGTTACAAGAGTAAGAAAAAACAGCAGCGGCAACGCCCTTACTTTTTGGCGCCTTTTACCAAAGCTATTTCATCTGGAGAAGAGGAGATATAGGTACATTTGGGTCCCGAGTTTACTATCAATCCATCTACGTTGTCTCCTTCTTTGATTTGAACCGTATGGCACAGACACAAAGCACGCAGGAATAGCTCTTCTCGACACTAATTAGAGTAAAAAAACCAGGAAATGAGTTAGTTACCAGCCAGTTCCGTAGACAGGGTTAATTTTCAGTGATTAACAAATATAACTATTCTAGATAAGCTGCTAAATCATCGCTACTGGGATTTGACCAGAAGTACCAACATTTTAGGCTGAAATATTCACCTAAATCCTAGCTCTGTTATCCACCTTTGAAAAATCTCACCCTTAAATGGGAACTTCATTTACACTGTATCTTTATCCCCCAGCATTTTAAATATGTACCTGCATACACCACCAAGAGGTAGAGAAGCAACCAAACGCCACAACAGCTGACAGGATGGGAAACTAAGCCAAGGAGGTTGACGCAAACCCTACTCTTGCAAAAAGTGGCCTGGTGTCTCTAATGGCCCCCCAAATCAGAAAGGAGCTCTGTTCAGATGTAACCATTAATTTATGCTGCCATTATTTCATCCAGGGGTAAATGGGAGACCAAACAAGGCAGAGACGAAAAGCAGCACTCTGGGCCAATCATTGATTTTATTGCAATGTGTGCAGTGCTTCTAGCTGTGATGCCATGTTAGCAAAGCAGCTGAACAGCAATTTCTTCTACCACTCTTTTTTGTGCGGACTTTTTTAGACAAATAGGTGTGATTGATTCCTGAATATGGGCATGAGCCACCTGCCTCTCCCGCGCTGCTCCTATTTTCCCCCCTCCCCTGCACGTAAACGTGTTAACTGCTGAAAATTTGAATGATTACACATTTACACAAATACACAAATTTAACATCCCTAATTCACCCCCTACGGAACTTGGGGATGAAAGACACTGGACAGAAGAACTCAGTGCCTCTAAGGGGCTGAACCCATATGTGGGTTCTGAACATGGCCAAACTTAGGGGTGCTTAAAACCTGTGCCTGCATTTTCACACTCGCACCTATCTCTTGCAATTGTTAATTCAGACAACTGGAGCAGTCAATGGAAATATAAAAGTTACCAAAGCCCAGTTCTACCTTCTCTGCTTTCCCATAATATTTCAGGGGCCCGTCCGTGTGAGACAACCCATCAACCTCTGAAATTCCGCCTCTGTACTTGTGTCCATCTATGCAGCACTCAATGAACTTCATGCTGTTTTCTGTAAGGGTTCCAGTTTTGTCTGTGAACACATACTCCACCTAAAAGAAAGAGAAGTCACTGCTGTACTTATTCTTCACTACATTCCCGGCTATTGCTGTTGAAAAGAAAGCTGAGGCAGCACTGAAAAAAGGAGAATAATTGGCAACTTAATTAGCCAAACATGATCCAGGAGAGAATCTCTGGCACTTGCTTAACTTGGACTTCCCAAGTTTACAGTCAGGTATGTTAACACAAAGAAAAGTCAATATTACACCCATTCCCAGATCAGCGCCTCTGCTTTGCACTCATTACACATTTGCCCTGCCTAGTTTTTTAAAACCTTCCGAGAACCAATCTTACGGCCCTTGATTACACCCGTCAAGCCTCCCCATTTCTCCAACTAGTCTTTCTCAGAGGGTGATATACTTAGCACTGAATCAACTATAGCAACATATACAATCCCAAAATTTAGATTGAAAAAAAAAGTTTTTTGCTTGAACCTACAGGTGAATACAAAAAGTTTCCGTTCAAAGTTTCCAACAAAGAAAAGAGATTCCATTTTGAACACTTGCTTTTAAACAAAAACATTCCTCTACAATGCCTGAACTCAAATGTGGAGATACTGACAACATAGAAACAAGAAGGATTATATGTACAGGAAAATAAAAATTGACTTGTCTTTCACTGTCCCAGGTGGGAAGATTGTAACAAAGAAACACAGAGTATAACACTGTGGAAAGTAAACTGTTTTAAAATGAACAGCAGCTGTTTAATCAGCGCTAACAGTACAAAGCTATTTGTTTGCTCTAGGCGGGTTTATGTTGACAATGCAATTAAATTAGCTAACAGTTGTTTCAAATTAAACATTTTCTTTACAGGAACAAAAGGTGGTTGTGCCACTATCGCTGGCATTGTGTTGTTGTGATTGAACAGAGTAAAACATCAGCTACCTGAGTCCCAGCAGAGTAGAGAAAATAGCAGAACACAGGTGCATATTAAATGAATGCAGTGAAGGAGAGATTAGCAGATTCGCACTTTCCTCACCAACCCGCATCAAGGAAGGTTACCGAGAATTTACAATTTTTAATTCAATGAAAGCAAACAAATTTGACAAATTATTGAGTTTGGTTTTGACATTCTTCTATGTGGCAACAAACTGCAGGATACTATTGTAGGTGCAATTTATAACCTCATCTGATTTTCAGATGCAAATAATAGAAATCCAAACCTAAATTACAGGTTGGATCTCCCTGGTCTGGTACCCTCTGGACATGACAGGTCCTGAAGAATGAGGAGATTTGCCAGACCAGCGAGGTCCCTTCCCTCATGGGATGCCTATCCCTTCCCTCCCGGAACTGGCTAGGGCTGTACCACTGCTGCCTGGCCGGCCATGGCTCCCCGGGCTGGAGTTCCCTGGCCGCTGCTGCGGTCAGAGCTGCATGGCCGGGGCTGGAGCTCCCCAGCTGTGTGGCTGCTGCTGGCCCCCAGCTATAGCCCAGCAGCGGGGGCCAGAACTCCCTGCTGTGCCTCCTCCCTTCCCCGTGGCCAGACCTCCCTATGCCTGGGCTCTGTGGTCCAGGAACATCTGCAGTCCTGCCAGACTATAAATGTTGCTGGATCAGAGAGTCCTGGTTAAGAGAGGTACAATCTGTACCACCAAAAATAGTTGTAGTTATATGTTGACAGGAACACCAGTACCTTGGAGAAAAAGACAATGAGCAGTCCTGTGGCACCTTAGAGCCTAAAAAATATACCATGTGCTTTTGCGGGTAAAGCCCACTTCATACTCATCTGATGAAATGGGTTTTGCCCATGAAAGCTCGCGATATATTCGTTAGTCTCGTAAGGTGCCACAGGACTGCTAATTGTTTTTAAAGTTGCAGTCTAACACGTATGTCCCTCTGAGACTTTTTGCAGATAAAGGTTCTTAATATGGGAGAATGATTAACTACTGCAGCAACGACTTTAATTATTTTTCAGAGATGCTGAAGGCTGCAGTGCTGGCACAAAGACAGCAATTAGGCCATCCTCCTCCTCCCCCTTTCTCTCTCTCTGTCCTACCCCGCAGCCAACTGTGACTTCTCTTTGTTTTAATTAATGTACAGAGGAAGGGTTTTAACTTCGACTTCAGATGTTCTCATTAAAAAGTTTGGTTCAGTGTCAAGACAGCATGAGTAAATCACTTGTAACAGTCTCCCTATAACTGTACAAAAGGGGTGGCGCTTAGCCTTTCCAGACTACTGTATTCCTTTCAGGAGTCTGTGTATCCCAAGTTTCACCTTACTTAAAAACAACTTGCAAAATCAGACATAAAAATGCACCAGTGTCATAGCTCACTATCACTGAAAAAACTGCTACTTTCTCATTTTTTACTGTATAGTTATAAATGAGAAATTATAAATGATAAGCCATAAAGATTGCACTTACATTTTGGTGTATAGTATATAGACCAGTATAAACAAGTCATTGGCAGTATGAAATTTTAGTTTGCACTGACTTCACTGGTGTTTTTGATGTATTCCATGGTAAAATTTAGCAAATATTTAGATGAGCTGATTACCTCCTGGAAAACTGATGTATTCTGTGGTAAAATTTGGCAAATATTTAGATGAGCTGATTACCTCCTGGAAAACCTCTGCGTACTCCTATACATAGCCCTGGTTGAGAACCCCGGCCATGAATCCTCTATCTGAATCCAGAGCTTTTATGCCTCTCGGTTTGGGATATGGAAGTATTTCCCTAAGCATGCAGATGTGGCTAGGATGGTGAATACATAATCCCCTTCTCTTTGGTGGTATTATTGTATAAAAATATAAATTGATACAAATTCTGCATCAGAGCTTCCTACCAATCAGAAACAAAGCAAAATAAACAATGCAAACTGCCTCCCCAAGCAGCAATCAGTGATCAGTGTTTCCTTTCAAAGCAGAAAAGAAGGTGAAGCCACTCTACCTTATAGCCACTGATGGTATGGAGAGCAGAGCCAATATGCTTCTATGCTCCAATAATTCCTGGCTGCTAGAACAGCCTCTGGACATAAAAGGCAGCCAGCTGAAACTAGGGCTACATCGACATGACAGCAGAAAGTCGACTTAAGCTGCGCAACTCCAGCTATGTAAATAATGCAGCTGGAGTCAACATACCTTAAAGTTGAGTTATCACAGGTTCTACACCCTGGGGAGGAGGGGCGACAGGAGAAACTCTCCCATCAACTTCCTTTATTCTTCTCATCTGGGATAGAATAACAAAGCTGACTAGAGAGAAATCTGTGATTGACTTGGTAGATCTTAAACAGACCCTCTAAATCAACTGCCAGTGGATCGATCTCCATGTCTGGATACTGGCTGTAATGTAGATGTAGCCAAAAGGAGACATAAAACTGTTCTAAGTAGCACCATGGCCCAAATAATCTTCAAGTGAGACACAGGGAAGGAGTGCTAGACAAATGTAGCAAAAGGGTTGATTCGGGCACCTTCACCTCAGATAAAAATATACTCCAGCACAGATGAAGATCTGGCCCACAAGTTCTTCAGGAGGGAGATAACTATAGATGTTTGAGTCTGAGGAAAAGTTACAACAATTTTTTATTTGAGATATTGCCCAGAAAGGGAAGCATGTTCTCACCTGACCGAGTTCTTCATTGAGGTCCGAGGTATTCACCAGTGCTCCTTCCCTTATTTCTTCATCATACATCTCTTTATCCCAAGCAATAAAGAAGGAGCCCAAGAATTTTTGCATTTCTACGGTAACATACATGGAGACTGGGATAATGAAATTGAAGAGGACCATAAACGACAGGAAGTCGGTGAACATTCTTAAGATCTGCAAAGGAAAGAAAAAAGTTAGAGGCATCGTGTGCCAATCAGACTCCCCATGCAGCCAGAGGCAGACACAATCTACAACAGTAGATTCAAGATTCTACCAGGATTTTCTTCTTTACTGGTGAAAAGAAAACTTGATATGAAAAATAAAATCCTTGAGAAAAACGTATGGTTAACGGCCCATGTTCTGCTCTCAGTTCCAGCTTGGCAACCTTCCTGACATGCACCGAGTTGTTAAGGCATAACTGAACAGAATTTTGCTCAAGCTTGCATTTGATGTACAAGCATAAGGACTGTCTAAATCAATGTTGTATCCAAACACAGTTCTGTACGTATTACCAGCTAGGGACACGAAAGGTTAACTGGTTAACTGGCAAGCCGGTGGGGGTTGGAGCAGCTGCCTGGCCACTGTGGGGAGTGGGCTGCTCCAGTCCTGTAGGGTCCGCCGTGGATAGGGGTGTCCAGTCTGGTCAAAGCAACCCCTGTCCATGGCAGGCCTGGGGGGCTCTCCAGCCAGCCAGGCTGCAGCAGACCCCCACTCCCAGCCATAATCAGGTAACTGGTTGAACATCAAGTTTAACCAGTTAACCAATCAAATGGGATTTTACATCCCTATTACTGGCCTGATTCTCATCTCACTTAAGTTCAAATCAGAAGAAACTGCTGTAATGTCAGGAGCACTACACCACCGTCAAACTGGTGTGAGTGAAATCACAAGGATGTCTCCTAAATCTCTGATAGCCAATACAGCACGTTGAGACACAAGCCAACACTTCCCAACCTGGCTACATAACATCTCAAACAGCTATATCCATATTCAGAGACATAGGCTACTTCTACACTGGCATGATTTTCCGGAAATGCTTTTAACGGAAAAGTTTTCCGTTAAAAGCATTTTCGGAAAAGCGCGTCTAGATTGGCAGGACGCTTTTCCGGAAAAGCACTTTTTGCGGAAAAGCGTCCGTGGCCAATCTAGATGCGCTTTTCCGCAAAAAAGCCCCGATCGTCATTTTCGCGATCGGGGCTTTTTTGCGGAAAACACTACTGTGCTGTCTACATTGGCCCTTTTCCGGAACAGTTTTCCGGAAAAAGACTTTTGTCCAAACGGGAGCAGCATAGTTTTTCCGGAAAAGCACTGATGATTTTACATTAGATCATCAGTGCTTTTCCGGAAATTCAAGCGGCCAGTGTAGACAGCTGGCAAGTTTTTCTGGAAAAGCGGCTGATTTTCCGGAATAACTTGCCAGTGTAGACACAGCCCTAGTGAAAGGGCTCCCACATCTCAATGTATGCTCTCTAAGTTTGAAACTGGCCGGCGTTCAGATAAACACAGAAACAAGTGCTTGGTGCATAAGTAAATCCAGATGGCCAAAATTCTATTTATCTGTCTTTTGTCTGTAAATAAGAGGCAGCCTTTAGAAACATAAATAGTTGGCCCACGCGTTCTGTGGGAGAAAAACACAAAAGGTAAGCAGCTCTGGCATCTGCTTCTTCCTCAGCTTTGTTTTGCAAAACTATTCCCAAGTATTCTTGCATGTAAGGAGAGCCCCGCAAATCCACAGATACCCGCTTTATATCCACCGATATCCACTGCTATTTGTGGATACAGAGGCGGATACAAATTTTGTATCTAGAATCCTGCAAATTTGCAGATGTCAGCTTAATATCCACGGTATCCACATCCACAAATGTCAATGTGAATATCCTCAGCTCATTTTTGCAGCTGCAGATGCAAATTTTTGTATCCACGCAGGGCTCTACACATAAAGAACAACAGTAGTACCTAGCAGGTGAGACAAGAAATAATTACAAGCGAAAGGAAAGAGAGCTAAGTGAAGAACTGTCCTCCCCTTAATATGTTTTTTCAAACTACATGCAGGGAAGGCAGGGGTGGGCAGACTAAAAACATCCTATCAAAATAAGTAAGGTTGGAGGAGTCCTGTAACACAATCCCATTTACCTTGAACGTCTCTCTTTCTTTGTTTGTCTTTTGGTTATACCATGGCTCATCATTAAATGGATTACTCTGCCAGACGTATTTCAGAGTGGTGCACACTGTAGCTTTGCTCAGTAAGATGCATAAATACACTATCAAAAAAGCGTTGATGGATCTGCAAAACAGGTTTCTTTTTAAAATCCATACAGCTATTTTTAACATTCAATCATGCAAGCAATCAGAGTCAGACTATTCCTATTTTTAAAAGGGAAACTCTAGGGTACAGGTTTTTAGGGATGCAAAAGGTTAACCAGTAAGCATCACCTTTAATGGGTGATGCTTACCAGTTCGGAATAACCCATGGGGCTGCAGCAGTTCCCAGCCTGCCATGTGCATGCGGCTGCTCTAGCCCCATGGCACCCGCCATGGAAGGGACTACTCCAGGCATCTGCAGCAGCCTGTGTGTGGTGGCCTGAGCACGTCACAGGCAAGGGCTGCTCTAAGAGTCCGGAGCAGCCCCTGTCTCCAGGTGCTCCAGATGTCCTGGCCACTCCTGTCCGTGGTGGGCCTGGGGGCTGCAGGCAGGGGCTGCTCTAGCCTGGCTCTGGGGGGAGGGATTGGTGGACCAGGCTCCCCATCTGTGGGATCCCACTTAACTGCTTAACCAGTTAAACGTAAAGTTTAACTGGTTAACCAATTACACGGGATTTTACATCCCTACTGATTTTGACAGCTCTGATCTTTCGGGTCAAATCCAGGATTTTTAACACTTCTTGCCCAGTAAAGCTGAGAGTAATATTTAATGCAGTAGCTTTTAAGAGACATGCTTGACTCAATATACAAATTTTCTATACAGAGTGTATCTGAAACAAAAGACAGCAAATGATGGGGCTATTTCTGCACAAATGCACCCATAAGGAAATGAATAGCGTTTATAAACCTTTCTGTTTCTGAAGTACACTTACTTTTCTACAGCAGAACGCTTTTGTGATTTTCCTTGGTAGTTCAAAGCCATTTTTGTTTCCATTCCGGTATAAACCGCAACTCCTAGAGAACATTAAAGTGTTGCTTGTAATAGTTCAATTTCTGAGTTGCAAGACTGCATCTCACTTGCCAGTGAGGGATATTCGCAATTGCATAGCACTTTAAGATTCGTCATCCACAGACAGTATTACCCGCGGGTTATGCTTGGTTCTTTAAGCAAGGAATCCCCAGTGCTATTGATTAACACTAACACAAGTGCCACAATAAATCTTCTGAATGCTGACGAGAGGTGTGAACCCCCAAATAATTACCCGGAGTATAATGTATTTCTTTATAAAGATTGTTAACATGAGCAATCATCGTCATGGGTCACAACTGGGAAAAGATAACTTCATGTAAGTGTACACATGCTAGGCATTAGCGGAATTAGCAAATTTATTGCAATATTGACAGTTATTTTGAAAAGGCCTGGAGGAGGGGGTGAAGTAAGGACAAAAGCAGATATACTACAAGATCCACTCGGAATGGGATTTTGGCACCTCCTGTAAGTTTAACTCTGACCAAAAGTAAAAGGAAACAAATACTAGGAAGGGGTGGGGTGGACAGAGAATCTCTGAAAAATCTTAACCAAATTCAGTACTGATGTAAGCAGGTGCAAGTTCATTCACTTCATTGGCGTGACAGCCAATGGTTTCCGTTCAATTCTCGAAAGGATAATGGAACCATTAGCAGTAAGTAGCAGAGAATTTATAAAGGGTACATTTTTGCCAGACAAACTTCACTGCTTTTTTGACAGAATGACAAGTGATAGTGGATGAAGACAAAGCACTGGGTGTACAGCCAATAATTTTCAAAAGGGACTTGCAACTTGAGACAGAAAGCGCTAACCTGGGGTCTCTTTAAAGGGGTCACAAATAGACCTGAGCGAATTTTTTGCTATGATGCACTGAAAAATGCAGTGTGATTCTCACCAAAACCATTCTTTAGATTTATTTTGTCGATTGCAAACTTAAAAACAAAAAACCAAAAACCCACACACCATTTCTCATTCACCCAAACATTGCAGATTGCAGGTTGATTCAAAATAGTTATTTTTAATCATTTTTGAATCTACACAAACATTTTGGTCAACTTTTTTGGTGGGGGATGGGGAACACCATTTCTCCATTTCAATTTGGCCGTCTTCATCCTCATTCATTTTGAAATTTGAAAAAGAAAGTCTGAGAATCAAAAAAAGTATTTTCAGCAAAAATTCTATTTGCCATAATAATAATAATTGCCTACTTCTAGTCTGAAGATAATCTTTCAAAAAGCACAAGTCATTTCCAAAGATCCTGGTCAATATAGTTAGATTTCAGTTACGCATGGTAACTCATGAAATCTTACTCTCAAAATTAATTCATTATGTATGAACCCGAGATGTGTGTACTGAAAGAAGCACTGCAGACAGGTGTTTACTCTAGATACAGTGATAAACATTCAGATTTTGCTGCTAAAATATTCAGCGATCCATCAGAATTATTAATAAAAAGCTGTTCACCATAAATCTTCTTGGTATTTTTTAAAGTAGAACCCTTCAGCAGTAGGTTTTCGGGACCCAAAGACCTAAACACAGAAGAAGTGATAGTATCAGATTGCTTACGCACAATTCCATTCCGACTGGCTTATATTTTATACATAGGGTTAAACAAAGCCTAATGCAGAGGTGGGTAACCTTGGGCCTGGGGGCCAGAAGCAGCCCCCCGCTTGCCTGGATACGGCCCCTGAGGCTCATAGCCCATTCCCCAGCATTGGGCAGCTTGGCTGGTGCTCCAGTCTTCTTGCTGCAGGGCTGGAGCGTACAAAATCTACTAAGCTGGGCCTCCAGGCTCTGATGTGCGAGGGGAATATGGGGAGTGTCTTTCTGCTCAGTCAGGGGTCACATCTGTGAGGGGTTTTTTTGCTGGTTTTGTTTGCTTCTCACTTGTGTGTGGCCCCCGACTGATTTTTCTGTGGGTCAGCGGCCCCTGACCCAAAAAAGGTTTCCCATCCCTGGCTTAAAGCAAAGTCCTTTAAACTGGAATTTTGTCAACAGGCTTAAACCTAGACTTTATTCTGACAGTATAGACTAATTATGAAGATTGCTGAACCCCAGGACCAACAAAACATGAGGCTGTAAATTATGTTACTTATTTTTTTGCTCCCATGTTGCTCTGTCTATTCTATTCATTTTTTATTTCCTCGTAGTTCTCCCTTTCATGACTGCTTGCCAAATCCACTTCTAAGCCTAATCTGGTGGCAGAATTTTTAAAGTGTGCATAAATCCTCAAAATCCAATTTGTCTGGTTTCAGAAGTCCCTTGAAAGCTCCATACTGTCACAAGTATTTGAAACCACCATTAGACTCTCAGGGCACGTCTGCACAGCAACATTATTTCAAACTAACTAGCATTACTTCGAAATAACTTAGTTCACGTTTACACAGCAGGCAGATATTTTGAAATAATGTTGAAATACTGTCATGCTGGAGGAGTTCTTACTTTGACTCCTGTAACCCTTATTATAGGAGGCCCCCGACTTGTGACGCGATTGGCTTCACAGGAAGGGTCGCAAGTTGGGGGCATCATAACTCGAACCCTCATTTACGATAGGCACCATGTGCCATTGTACATGCAGGCCGAGGGCATAAATTGGGGGGGTTCCGGCTCCTTGCACACTTACAAAAATGGTTCTAAGTGCGGGGGGTCGGAATTTGGGCAGTCACAAGTCAGGGGCCTCCTGTACATGAGGAGTAAGGGAAGATGGAGGAGGAGTGCTCTCTTACGAAATAAAGGCTGTGTAGACGCTCCCAATTTCGAAATAAGCTACGCAACTGACGTCGCTCAATCTGCGTAGCTTATTTTGAGTTAAGCTCTGCTGTGTAAACGCACCCTCAGTTTCATTTCGGAGAGGTACATCTTTGGGCATCTCTGCAACAGAGAGAACATGGCCAGCCCTACCAACACAAGCTGAGAGATGGCCATTCAGTTTTCAAAGCCCACCCATCACTTTTCTTGCGGTAATCTATTATTATCTATTATCGTGTAACACTTTCCAAAACTCTTGGGTTAACCGACATGCTACTGCCACTTCCATCTGAAAATCTATCATTCACTGCTGCTTGGACTAAAGTTTCAATTTTCTTCTGTACTTTAAAATTTCTCCCATTAATTTGGCAGCATTATCAGTGAACTGGCACTTTACAAAGACGTTCGCCTGAATCATGCTTTTGCAATAGACAGATGGAACAGACTACGCCAATCATTTCTGGACTTTCTAATGTATCATTTCCTGTCTGTCTGTAGTGTCACCTTACTCAGGCAAGGATTGTCATTGTGTTCAGGTTATGCAAGGCCCTGAGCCTATGGCTGTGCTCACTAAACTAACAGCAACAGTGAAAACAGTTTTGCAAAGCCATGTACATATGTTCCTTAGCATTTTGTGCACAGGAAGGGCCTATATTTGACCAACCTGCAATCGAAAACATCCCCCTCACAAAATTTATATTCTCAGCTATCCACTATTATATCCCACTGTTGTAGACAGAAAAAGAAGAGAGAAGATTGAGCGGAATTTGACAGCAGCCTTCAACTACCTGAAGGGGGGTTCCAATGAGGATGGAGAGAGGCTGTTCTCAGTAGTGGCAGATGATAGAACTAGGCATAATGGTCTCATGTTACAGTGGGGGAGGTCTATGCTGGATATTAGGACAAACTATTTCACTAGGAGGGTAGTGAAGTACTGGAATGGGTTGCCTAGGGAGGTGGTGGAATCTCCATCCCTGGAGGTTTTTAAGTCCCAGCTTAACACAGCCCTGTCTGGGATGATTTAGTTGGGACTGGTCCTGCTTTGATGTGCTCCTGAAGTACCTTCCAACCCTATGATTGTACGATTCCTCGTCACCCAAAACACAGGCTGCATCTTATTAAAACCCCAGCTCTTCAGCAAAGCAAAGCTTAGGTTTGCTGGAGAGCAGATGCAGTGAGCATATGCCCTGCACATCACTCCTTGCTTTTTCTGGCTCTGTTTTAGCAAGTCAGTGGGAGTGAAACTGCTGTCAGTTTCCTTTCTCTGCCAGCTCACAAGGATCATAGGCGATAGAGAATGCAGAGGGTTGCACATTTGCTAACATGCTGCCAACTCCCAACATCACCAAAGGCAACACACACAACATCCTGGGGCATTTGTGGGAGGCTATCACAGCGGAAGAGCTGGGATTTCTAAGATGGCTTGCTGCCCTCATTCTGAATGACTGACATGTTCTCAAGTCACTGGACCACATACAACCAAACTGCAAAATGAAAGAAAAAAGAAAGGACAAGGAAACTCAAATTTCAAGCCTCCACAACTCCCCTTCGATAAGCAGGATGTTAGGAACTCACAACAAACAAATAATAAAGAAAACAAATGCCATCTGCAATTAGTAACAATGAGTAAAATGACCAAGAGACTAACCGGGCTACAGGTTCCTGGTTACTTCTGTAGATGTTAATTCTTCCAACAAATCTATGATCAAAACACATGAGAGAACATTTGTTAAAGAGTGGTAACTGCATATTTAATTACAAGGAGCCTTTCCAAACATAAGAAATGTCACAAGAGGCAGGTGGAAAGAAATGAGCCAGTTAGTGGGATATCAGGGATGTTAAAACATGTTTATATAAATGTGTAACTGCTGCAATTGTCAGCGGTTACACATTTACATGCAGAGGGGGTGAAGCACTACGCCCCCTCCCCAGCAGAGGCTGCAACGTGGGGAGAGAGGGAGGGAGCAGTAACAAATCTATATTTCTAAGCAGGCCTACATCAAAGTTTGTAAAGACAAAAGGGTTGGTCTTACTCTGGTGAACTAGCATTTCCCAGGGCAGAGGCTTTGCCATTAAAAAAACAACAACAAAAAAACAGCTTCCAGGGAGCTTTGCCAGACAGCTCAGTAAATCCTCCAGGAATATCAGCAAGAGCCTTGATGAGTCTTTCATTCCTTGTGGACAACATGAAGACAATCACCCTTTTGAACTCCAACTCAAGTCTATTCATCTGGCAACAGAATTCAATGTCTCCCTTAAATTACTTTGTTAGATGGATGCCAACAGCTTAGTAGCTTGCCTGCACAGATGACACCAAGGATATGTCTACACAGCAACATTACTTCGAAATATCTAGCGTTATTTTGAAATAACTTAATCTGTGTCTACACAGCAGGCAGTTATTTCGAAACAATGTCGAAATCCTGTCAAGCTGGAGGACTTCTTACTCCGACTCCTGTAACCCTCATTGTACGAGGAGTAAGCGAAGTCGGAGGAAGAGTGCTCTATTTCAAAATAAGTGCTGTGTGGACACTCCAAATTTCAAAATAAGTTACACAACTGAGGTAGCTCAATTTGTGTAGCTTATTTCAAGTTAAGCTCTGCTGTGCAGACGCACCCCAAAAGATGGACAAAGAACAAGGATCCATTGAGTACCAGGAGTCGGGGCTGTTCCCGTACTTACTTGTAGAGGTCTGGTTGAGGCTGTTCACATTCAATTGCAGCAATAAGGGAGTCTATGTCGTCATCTGTCTGGAGACCAGCAGTATCCCGCACTGCATAGTGAGTCTAGGTGGAGAACCAGCAAGAGCTATTACAGAGTGTCACAACTCCACTGAAGCACAAGACCAGAGAAGATCTTCACCTACTGAGTAGTTATAGCTCTGTGGTCCGTAACGCAGTGCCTGTGGGCGCCATGGCACCCGCCAGGCCATTTCTGTGCGCCCGCCGACTGATCGGGGCCGGCCCTGCCCCTGGGCGCGCAGCCCAGGGGCGGCGGCAACCCCAGGCAAGCAGCACATGGGTAGTCCCGCTCCTGGGTGCGTGGTACATGGGCTGTGCCGGACCCGGGAGCGCAGTGCATCGGCGCTGTCGGCTCCTGGGCACGCGGCACAGGAGTGGTGCCAGCTCCAGGAGTGTGGTGCATGGGTGGCGCCGGCACTGGCCCCACCCCCAGGTGCGTGTGCAGCCCTGCCCCCGGGCGCCTGGCAGCCCCAAAAGGTTGGGGACCACTGTTATAGCTCATTACTTAAAACACCGATGTAGAATGAAACTTGTCTTAAGCAACCAGTCAGGTAACCCATCTGTTGTTTGGGGAGAGACAAGGATCTTCTAATGAAAGGCAGAACGGGATGGAATTTAATATGCTTAGGAAATATTTTGCACTGGTCTGGTAAGACGGTGGGTCACTTGATAAGGGAGATCTCTTGAACCTGCCACTAAATTGTGAGACAGGCTCCTCCATCAGGGCTGCCCTAAGGCAGGCTGCGTTCTTGCCACACCTGTTTACTTCAAGAGATAGCTGGAAATGCTCAACAGGTGTTTAGCTCCCCTCAGGAGCTGCCTTGTGCTGCCTATGAAGGTAATTAGAAGATAGGTCTGCTTCTAGGGGAGCAGGAAGAGTATTGACAGACCCAAGAGCTATTCTTAGCATCAACTGCTGTGCAAGTTCCTTTGGCACATAACTAATTGGAAAACTGGGGAAGACTCCAATTCACTGTTTTGAAGTTCTAATTATAGAAACTACTTAAGAGTTCTAAACCTCAGTCAGCAAGATAGATTGCCTTAATCTGTCTTGAGAAACAAAGCCTCCAAAAAGCTTCCTCACTTCCTTAGCCTTGGATTTCCTCGTCCAGCAACTGATGGGAGAAACAGTTATAGTACACAAATTGTACAAGAGAACGAACAGCATACCCGTGTTGAATGGTGTTGTAGCAGAATGTCTGTGCCTTGCATCAAAAATTCCAGCTCCACATCCCTGCTCTTGGACAGTTAAGCCTCAATTATTCTCACTTTTCTGCCATTTTCCCCACTCTCCGAGGCTACGTCGAGACTGTGATCTCTTGCGCAAGAGAATATGCAAATGAGGCAAAGCAGTGACTATCGCTGTGCCTCATTTGAATTCTTAATGAGCTGTCATTTTTGTACAAAACCCCCCTCTTGAGCAAGAGCTGTTCTGCTGCTTTTTTTTCAGGCAGAACGGCTCTTGCGCAAGAAAAGGCTTTTTGTGCAAAAAGGAGCCATGCACAAAAGCCCCTTGTGCAAAAATGGTGGCTCATTACGTATTCAAATGAGGTACAGCGATATTCACCACTTTGCCTCATTTACATATTCTCTTGCGCAAGAGAGCGCGGTATAGACATAGCCCAAGTCATCTTCTTTGTTATATCAGCATCCAGGAGACAACTCCTAATGAGTTGTGGGGACCCCAAAGGCCAAGCAGAAACAGCATAAGAGGCCTATACAGAACCTTAGGGTACGTCTAGACTACAGGCTTCTGTCGACAGAAGTTTTGTCGACAGATACTGTCGACAAAACTTCTGTTGACAAAGAGCGTCTAGACTACATTGAGTTCTGTCGACAAAGCAAGCTGCTTTGTCGACATGGTAGTGTAGACGCAAAGGACAGTTTACATTCAATAACACCTTCTGTTGACAGAAACTCTGTCAACAGAAGGTGTTATTCCTCGTAAAATGAGGTTTACCAGCGTCGACAAAACTGCTGAGTTCTGTCGACGTTATGTCGACAGAACTCAGCGGTAGTGTAGACGCAGGTATAGTTTTCTCGACAAAAGTCCACTTTTGTTGACAAAACTCTGTAGTCTAGACACACCCTTAGTGCCACATGTTGGATGCTCAAAAGCAGGAAATACATTGAGGTCCTGAAATTAATTCAGTCATGATGTGCACCCTTGTATATTTTAGGGCATACATTCAAATGTGCTTTAATACAGGACCTATATTTTAGGGCTGTGGAGTTTAAAAGCACCACTCCTCTTTCCTAATCTACTCAGTAAGAGCATGTTTACACTATGCAAAAATCAATGTTGACGCAATTGATCTTCCCACTAAATTGAACTCAGAGGTTGCCCCCATCAGCGAATAAGGGAAACCAATGGGAACGTTTGCGCCTCCCGTGGACGGTGCAGAAAAGCAACGAAAGGTATGTCATCTCCAGCTACACAATGAAAGGTATATCATATACAGCACTACTGGGCTTGGGGAGTTCATAAGATGCCCAGGAAAAAGACTCCATTTCACAGAGATGGTGAACTCTATACAAGCTAAACTATTTTTACACAGAATCAGCTTCTATGCAAACATTTCTACAGTACCTAATGCTTATCAATATAGATATTAGCCCCGGACCTGATCCGATGCCCTTTTAACGAATGAAGATACATACAGTCACTGATTTCAGAAGAAGTTGGAAGGAATTCTACATAGCTGACATTGTTCCACACTTTGTACTACCGCTCCCAGCTTTAGCACAATTGTGTTGGTGCATGAATGAAATGAAGCTTTTTTATCCTTATGGGGGTTTTCGATGGGGAGCAGTGGGATGGGTGAAAGGTAGCAGGAATAAATGAGAGAAAAGATTCATCCTCAGTGAGGCCCCCCCAACTGGTACAATTTCAAATCTCAAACTTCAGCCCTTTTGAGTCATGAGTATGAAAACGATGCATGTTAAAATTTTCTGCCAATGGGAACAGAGTATAGTTTAAATGACTAGAAGGTCTTTTCTGCAAAACAGCCTAGAACAATTTGTCTATGGGCTGATATCAATCATGAAGAATTTCTCTCGCCCCAAAAAAAAGAAGTACAAGTTCAGAGAAAATGAAAGCAGGGAGTTGGAGACTGAAAGCCCTGATAAAATCTCAATTGCAAAGGTCACTACAGGTGACTGCTATAATAAACCAGCTGAAACTGCAGTGATCTATTTACTTATTCATTAGATCTTTCTACATGGGTACCGAAGATGTTTTTGCAGGACAAATGATACAGCATTCAGGTATATCTGTGAAGACCAACACAGTTTGGAACAATGCCCCTAGGAACAGTTATTTAAAAACACAAAATGCACTTCAGTGGTGACTGTTGGGAGAGGAAACCAAACACAACCAACACACAGAATGTGTGATCCAAAAACATTCTCCAACTGAACTGAAAGACACACAGGCTGACTTCACCTGCTACTAAAACAAAACAGAGGAGCTACTGCAATGCTTTGACTCTGCACTGCATAGACTACTGCCTGACACGTATTCATTCCCATTACCTTGAAATTCGACTCGCCATCCAGACTTGCCGTTGTGACGTAACAGGTCCCATCGCCATTACTCGATGACAAGAATATCAGATCACAGGGGAAAGTTTCATCTGCTTTCACTTCTACAATGTCTCCAACCTGGAAAGAATGCAACTGTAGTGTTTTAATGATCCATTTAATCAAGCCCTCAAGGAGATGATTAAAGGTTTAATTGGTTTATCTTGTTTTTTCCAAGTGTAAAAAGAAAGGAAAAATCCTTCCCTGATCATGGGCATTTGAAGAGCACCTCCCCCCCCAAAAAAACCCAGCAATTGTGCAACTGTCCCAGATGATTAAGAATACTGTATAACAACAGCAATACAGTACTTGCACATTTACTTTTTCTAACAATGGTTCTGTATTTAACAAAGCTTTCACCCACTGGAATAGGATTTCAGTGCACTGACTGCAGGACAATGGAATTTGAAGTGTGAGGGCCCTTGGAAGGGGTTTCACAAAGCTATGAAATTACTTCAGTATTGGAAAAAAATACTTAGTAATGAAGTCATACTGCTGATCTTGGCTTTTCTCTGTCAATTATTGGAGGCAGAGGATTACAAAGTGAGTCGGTCCTGGGCAGCCCAAGGACTGTCACCACAAGCCACTAGTATTTGTTCTTACAACACTCTGTATTCATTCCCAAAATTGGAGCACTAAGGATGCACTTACACCGCAGATTAATTTATAGAGCTGTGATGGTTTAAACTTGTTCGTTATGGCTCCTTGCTAAGCACTGTCGGACATTCTCTTCCAGGCATTCTGGGTCGGTTCCACCATCCGACAAACAGAACTCTCTCGTTTCAGACAGGACCACACACAAATATACAAG